GTGAACCTGATGAGGTTCAACACAGCAAAGTGCAAGGTTTTGCACTTGGGCCAGAGGAATCCCAGGCATCTTTACAGACAAGGAGTGGTCCTTGAGAGCAGCCCTGTGGAGAAGGACCTGGGGGTCTTGATGGATGACAAGCTTAACATGAGCCAGCAATGTGCTCTTGCAGCTCAAAAAGCAAATGGTATCCTGAGATCAGAAGAGGGGTGGCCAGCAGGGACAGGGAGGTGATTGTCCCTCTCTACTCTGCTCTTGTGAGGCCCCATCTGGAGTACTGCGTCCAGGACTGAAGCCCCCAAAACAAGAAAGACAGGGAGCTGTTGGAGAGGGTCCAGAGGAGGGCCACAAAGATGATCAGGGGACTGGAGCACCTCCCCTGTGAGGACAGGCTGAGGGAGCTGGGCTTGTTCAGCCTGGAGAAAAGAAGGCTGCAGGGTGACCTAATTACAGCCTTTCAGTACCTAAAAGGAGCCTACAAACAAGAGGGGAATCAACTCTTTGAAAGGGTAGATAACAGCAGGACAAGGGGAAATCGTTTTAAGTTGAGGGAGGGAAGATTTAGGTTAGATATCAGGGGGAAATTCTTTACTATGAGAGTGGTGAGGTGCTGGAACAGGCTGCCCTGAGAGGTTGTGGATGCCCCGTCCCTGGAGGTGTTCCAAGCCAGATTGGATGGGGCCCTGGGCAGCCTGGTCTAGTATTAAATGTGGAGGTTGGTGGCCCTGCATGTGGCAGGGGGGTTGGAGATTCATGATCCTTGAGGTTCCTTCCAACCTTGGCCATTCTTTGATTCTGTAATGCTGCAAAAATCAATGCCTGTGATGCATGCTCTGAAGATATAGGAACAGAGAGATCCAGAGAACTAATCACATAATCTTGTAACTAGTTCATTACTGTACCCATTCCAGATGTGGTAAAGTCTGGAGCAACTACATTCATGTCTCTAGGTGACCCAAACTCTGATGGGCATGCCTTCAGAACAGAAGATAATAAATACAAACAAGCCAGAACAGTAATCCTACAGCTAGGGGAGGATACACAGCATCATGCAAGGAGGGTGCCCACTTTGGTGATAGGACAAGTTTGCATCTGCTTTGTAATCAAGGACTCAGAGCAATCTGATTTACCAAACCAGGAAAGAGGCTCACTGTCTTCTAAATGACACAGAACTCACATTCCTTCGAACACTCCTTTTCCAGGGTACTGCTACTCAAAAGAAATGCTTGCTAGCCCACCTGCCTCAATCTGAGGTTAAAGTGCAGTAAATTTACCATCCTACGTAAGTACTGGAGATCTGGGTGTCTGCAGCACACTGCCCGACACAAAATAAAACACAAGACTAATCTGCAGCTGCATGATCATCATCTAACATTTACCACCTGAAGCTGGCAAGCCTTCCTCCACTTATTTTGAAAATGAGAAAAAAAAAGAAAATAGGTTTGGAGAAAACAGAGAAGTAGAAAGCAATGACAGACATCCTATGTTTTGTCCCTGGTCCAATTACTGCCCTATACGTTAGCTTTTGGAAAATGGATTTACCTCTCTAACATAACATCTTGTGTGCAATAAGTACAGCTAGATTTCACATGAACATTGTGATAATTAGTTGGTGTGATAACAGTACTTAAAACTTTCCAGCTTTTCTAAGCCCTGTGAAATGTTTCGTGCTCTGCTAGATGAAATGCCTATGCACATTTCAAGAGTCTGTGTAGCTACATTCAGGCATTTGTGTAAGATTCATGGCAGGAATGGCTATTTGAATGCTTATTACTTGGAATAGAACAAAAAATAACTTTGAAAAATTCAACACTTTCGATATTAAAACACACTCACCCTGCCTGTGCACCTCTAAATTACTAACATAAGCAGCTGTAAGGAGTAATAAAATCACGTTTACAATAACAGTCCCCTAGGTTGTTGTGCAGCCTACAAAACTGAAGGCTGAGAGCAATGGACTAAATTCATCCCTTGTGTAACTCTGTAG